AGATCTGCAGCTACGGATCATTTTGGCCGGCTTTGCACTTCTAAGTGCTGCCTTGGCTTATGCCTTACGTGAACTCGAAAAGAATTTTGAGTTTGTTGATTATGTACATTCTGAAATTGAATAGAGATATAGAGTTGTACATGGAAACTAACCCGAATGGTTTCTGCCTGATGCAGGGCTTACTGCCTTAGATACTAGTTTCTAGTGCATCACTGTTAGGATTAATACAAAGCTTATACAGCATTCCAAACGAGTCCAAGTCCGTTTGGATTATGAGATTTAAATCTAGTACTTTAATTTATGTTTAGAGTTAATTGCTTGTGTACAAACATAAACAGTGTACAAAAGTTTGTATTTATGCAAAAATATAACAAGACACACATTGATTTGTATTAAACCACAACCCCAAACTTCAACTTACTTGTTAAGCACCTACAATAACTGGTTGGTGGGCTATTTTCATGATTTCAACCAGACCAAATTAGAGGGGGCAAATAATGAAACCAGACATCCCAAAAAATAAAAAATTTCCAGTTTCAAAAACACAATTAAGCATAATTTGATTCAAAACAAGAACATCTAATTAATATGAGATCAATTACACCCAGAAATCACCAAGCAAAATGTTCAAATTTGATTCACAAAAAGCAAACTACAAAATACCCTAAACCAACCTAACACCCTATGCATCTCAGATGCCAACCGCAAATTTAGACTTTACAACTAAAAACCCTAATTAAATTCCAGATCACAAAATACCCATTTCCCCAAATGCCCTAAGAGCTAGTAAACTTGGTCACCGCCTTGGTCCCCTCCGAGACAGCGTGCTTAGCGAGCTCACCAGGTAAAACCAATCTTACAGCAGTCTGAATCTCCCTGGAAGTGATCGTCGGCTTCTTGTTGTACCTAGCGAGCCTCGAAGACTCCTGGGCGAGCTTCTCGAAGATATCGTTGATGAAGCTGTTCATAATCCCCATGGCCTTGCTTGAGATCCCAATGTCAGGGTGGACCTGCTTCAGGACCTTGAAGATGTAGATCTTGTAGGTCTCCACGCTCTTCTTGGATCTCTTCTTCTTCTTGTCAGTGGCACCAGAGGCTTCTTTGGGAAGCTTCTTCTCGGCTCTCGGCTTCTTCTCTGCAGGGGCCTTCTCGGCCTTCTTCTCCTCCGCTGGCTTTTTCTCAGCTGGCTTCTTCTCTGCCTTGGGCGCCATGGCAAATTTCAGAGATTTTTCAGAGACTTTTGAAGAAAGAGAGAAATACAGATTGCTTTGAAACGAAGGTTGTGTTGTGAAAGTGTCGGGTTTGAGGTTTGGGGTTTTGTTTATATAGTGGGAGGAGGTGGAATGTGATTGGTTGAGTTTGTGAGGTGCGGATCGATGACGTGGAGCGGTTGGATTTTCGGGAGATGGGAATGGACGGTGGAGATTGGGTTTCGGTTGAGCGGTGGAATTTTTGGGCTTGTTTTGTTTTGAATAGTTTTTAAAATAGGTTTTTAGGTTTGGCGGGCTTGGGTCTTAAGGCGCGCTCTGGCGAAAATAATTGAAAGTTTTAAACTTAAAAAAATCGTTAATTTGTAGATCACACATTCACACCGGTGTGTTAGAGCACTTCCACTCATTTGTCATGGCAAAGGGCAAGGGAAGGCAAGGGCAGATACTATTCAAGTGAATAGTGGCAGCCCTTGCAAAAAGTAAGGTGTGTTTTCACCCATTACCATGTTAAGGACAAATACTATTCACTTTTCGTTTTTTTTTCTTCTACCTAAACAATTAATTTGGAGAAGATTTTTGGTTTCCACGTTTCAATATTTATTATAAAATTCATATATCATAATTCGAATGAATTTTTTTTGAATTTTTTTGGATTTTTTTGAATTTTTTTTGAATTTTTTTGCTCACTGACGTCAGCGTGACATCAGCGCTGGCGTTAGCGCCTTCGGGCTGCAGCCCAGGCAAGATCTGCCCGTGGGCTTGCCCAGGTTGGTGGAACCCACCACTTGCCCGGGCTTGAGGCTGCGCGCTGGAGGCCTGTTTGGCTTGACTGGGCTGCCTTTTGCCCGGTTTTGTGCTCCCGCTGGACTTGGCCTTATAAGATCCCAAATTTTAGACAAATAAAATGTTTCTCATCTTAAGGATATTTCTGGTATTTTGGTAGCGATTTCACCTTTTATATGCTTGGAGCCCACCATCTTTGCATTATCTCTCCTCCTTTTCAACATGTGGGGCCCATCAAATGAGAATGTAAAATCATATGTAAATGTCATTTTTTTAACACATTTTTGGGTCAAATGCTATATTTGCATTCATTTACACCCCGTCATAGGAGCAACATCCGGCAACTCTGGCTGTAAATGTCCTTTACATCTTCCTTTACACCCTTACAATGGAGATGCTCTAAGGAAGATGTAAATCCAAATATGTATATTAGCAAAATGGGTGTAAAAAATTATGTAAATTAGTATCTTTTTATGCATCTCCGGTGGCCAATGTAAATATACAGGCCATTCTCCCATTGCAACAAATTTCAGTGGGCATAGGTGTAAATTTAGCATACATCCACCTTTACACACTACCATTGTGATGCTCTAAGCCCGTTTGGTTCAAGGTTTAGGAGCTTAGGAATGAGTTTCAAATTGAATGCTCATGTTTAGTAAGTGCACTCTTGGGAATGCAATTATGGACTCATGGGTATAGACTTCCCATGTAGGAGGGAATTTCATACCCTTGACTCACCTTGGGAAACTTTTTTCCCTCACTTGAAAAACATTTAATGCAGTTTTTTTGAATTAACTTACCCATGATTTTATTGTCAAATACCACCTTTGACCCTTCAAAAACTCTTCATATTAATAACTTTAATGATAAACAACTTTTCATCAATCCTAATATTGTACTAACCAAATAAGGTAATGAGAGAAAATGACATTTCATAGTCCTTATTTCCTAACGTTCTCAAACATGGGAATGAACATCCTCAATTTCTCTCTCATGAGATTAGACATGAGAAGTTTATTCCCGTGAAGTACAATCTGCGAACCAAACGAGCCCAAGTATCTAATACCCAGATTCTTTCTTGGTTGATAAGTATTTGAATTTTAAATTAATACCTCGCAATTTAAGGATACATCCGCAACTGCATTTAGTGGTCCATAAATTAGTATCCAAAACAGAGGTAGTGTCAACTCGTACAGCAAGAATACAGTGTGATATTAGGACATTAAATTTAATAAAACGGAAATTAAAAATAATTTACCTTATTGCTAAGATTTTTGCTGCTTCAATGGTTGTCCATTGCTTTTGCCAACTCATCTCTCTATTTCCCCAATGCTTTATTCAAAATTTTCCACCAACTAGTCAAGGTCATTTCCGTACGAGTCGAACCCAATCTTTCACAAAATACCGCATGAATTTTTTTTCCACATATGACAAAATTTCATCTCAGTGCCCGTGACCGGACAATGACCAACTTGGACCTAAGACTCACACAACAGAACATCTTCCATAGTTGTCCATGTTCCTCCAGCTTCGATGGAAGATGTCATAAGATGGTGAATAAAAATGAAAAATGAAAGTGAAGAAAATTTTGTGCAGAAAGTGAAAAATAATATAAGGAGAAGAAAATGTATGAGGATTTGATGTTGAAAGTGATCAACATTGGTATGTATTTATAGATAAAAATTCAAGGATTTTGTGGTAATTTTTTTAAAACATGTCAATTTTTTTTTTTCCAGATTTTTTGAGCCTAAATAAATGGCAGCCATTGGATTTGAGGGATAAAACGATCGGAGTGACCATAACATGCCACGTGGCGTGTTACCGTTGGTGGACATCAAGGCTGACGCTAGCACACGGTAATTCAAATTTTTTTTAACATTCGGTAAAAATGTTTTTAACCTGGGCAAGCGTGGCCTGCTAGAGGTCAGGCTGGCCTGGTTGCATGGGACCCAGAGCTTGCCCGGGCAAGCGTGGCCTACTGGAAAGTGGGGAGGTGTAAATTCGGAGGTATAAAGCTATTTTTACATCTCCTTTACACCTCCGGGAGATGCAGATGCCATTTTTGCTCCAAGGAGTTGGATGCAAATTCAAAGATATAAATATGATTTTCTTGTATTAATTCGTTTTTTTTTTTGTTAGGTTTAATTATTTTTTCTAAACAAATCGACCTACATTTTTTTAATTTCCAATAAGATATAATTTCATTCAATATGATGTAAATAAAATTAATCTAAACCGTCAGCTTTGATATGAATTTATTCTTCACCATTGATCAGTGTAGTTGTTAGTTTCATATTTCAATTTGAATGAAATTTGGCCATACATTAGAGAGTTGTTGGAGAAGAACTTTGTACATTTGCATCATTTTAATAACTTCCCCATTTTAATAAATATCAGCCACGCCCTGGGCCCACCATTTCAATAACTTCCCCATCTTTTAGGGGAAATATTTTTGCTCACCTCTTTAACTGAAGGTGTATCATCACCACCCTTCTCAATGAACCATCATACTTAATATTCTTCTATTTACTAAAGTTTTTATGTAATTTATTAGACTTCTTGGTTCACGATTTGAGTTTGTCAGGATTGATGGTTCATTGAACCGAACTGATCGCAAAAAATTACAATAAATATTGAGAGGCTGGAACCAAGGGGATTCAAACCCTGACTTCCAACCTCAAAGTAGCGTACCAAACCACTATCCAACACAGTTTTCTGTTTTGTTTTTCTTTCTTCATTTTATCTTTCCCGGTGCACCGAGAACTAGGGTTCTCAACTATGTTGCACGAATACGAATACGTGTATGTTGATACAATACGATACGATTCGTCGATACAACAAAATTTTAAAAACTAGGATATAGATATGACGCCTATACATCGACTAAAATACTATATATTTAAAAAATAATATAAATAACAAAAACTGATATTGCATCCATCATGTTATAATCATCCATTAAGTTCAAAACATAAAACTAAAAACCAATTAATACATGTAACCAAATTAAATGCATTTTGATAACAATTAAAAAGGTACAACATAGTTTGCTCCTTAAAGAATGGGTTTGTTGTCTCAAAAAAGAAAAAAAAGGTTTATTCCTCTAAAAATGCGTTTCAATCGTAGCTAGGAGAACACAGAACGGAAAAATTATGATTAAAATACATACGTATTTTATTCAGTAAAGTTTTGGCAAGAACTGAAAAGTTCGACCATTATATAATATTTTAATATTTTAATATATATTATTTTTTTAATAATATGTAAAAAATATGTGTGTAATAAGTGAATTTTGTCTTTATTATTCAAAATTATGTAAAAACACATTTCAAGTAAACATAAAAAATATGTACGTACGTGTATAATATGTGTATTGTACATTTGCTTTTAAAAAAAGGTGTATTTTATCGAGTCTTTAAGACGTGTACGGGAAAATGAAAATATTATTAAAAAATATGTACGTATTTGTATAATACGAGTATTGAATGGGAATATGCTAACTAGGTTCCAACTTAAGTAAAAATTTTAAAATTAAAAAAAAAAACTTAAGTGAAATTGAAAGCCCAACAATGAGACAACCATGAGATGTGGTGTAGTGGTAGCTCACCTCATTCCTTAACCATGAGGTTGGGGGTTCGATCCCTGCCCATGGGAATGGAGCGCATTTCATGGCCAGCCGTTTACCTCCATTGGGAGAGCTCCCGCGGCGAAAGGGATTAGTCACTGCTGTCGGCGGTGGATACTCTTAGGTCTCACCTATAAAAAAAAAAAGAAAAAAAAAAAAAGCCCAACAATGAGACGACGTCGTCTCTGATAAAACCTAAAAAATACAAAAAGGCGCTCTCCTCGTCTTCCTCGCGCAGCAGCGCCGCTTCTTCGTTTTCCTCGCGCAGCAGAGCCTCACAGACGACGACGCTTCTTCATTTTCCTCACAGACTTCGCGCAGCAGCGCCGTATCGGGACCGTATCCTTGGAGTGTCGGAGAAATATCGGACGGTCAAACTTTCAGAGCCGGACGCGTTTGGGTAGGGCAAAAGCTCGAATGGAAATGGGATCACTGAAGAGAAAGTCGGAGGAAGTGGAGGCCGAGGCAGAAGGATTTTCACAGAAACAACAAAAGAAGGAGAATGGTTGTGTAACCTTGGACGACGAAGCCGCGGCGTGCTTGCACGACGTGTCTTACCCTGAGGGTTTTGTCGTTCCTCCCTCTTCTTCTGCTTCTGCTGGAGAAGCTTCGGAGCCCGCCAAGAAATTCAAGTTCACTCTCGACCCTTTTCAGTCCGAAGCCATAAAGTGCCTGGAAAAAGCCGAGTCAGTCATGG